GTGTGTGTGTGTGAGAGAGTGTGTGTGTATATATATAATCTCCATGATTTATGCAATTCATCTGTAATTTATAGATAGATAGATGTTACATATGTGCTAAGATTTTAGGATTTACAATTTGACGTCATTTTTTCTTGTTTAGTTTCCCCATATATATATATATACTGTATATATTCTGATTTATAGATATGTATTCTGATTTCTGAGATGTAATACTAAAATAGTTTCAAAAATTTAAATAGTAAGACTTTACAGATAGGGTTTAGACATATATTGATTTATAAGTTTGTAGCAAGATTTTACATAATTATTTCTTGATTAGTTCCCCCATGATGTATGAGATTAATTTGTATAAAGTAATGTCAACCTTTGAGTCATATAATTTTGATATATATGTTATTTTTATATATGTGTTAAGATTTTAGGATTTACAATTTTAATGAATTATTTCTTAAATATGTATGTGTATCTATCTCTCTATCCATATTAAATCAGAATATATAAACAAATTATATATTCTGATTTGTAAGTATATAGTGAGATTTAATAAAAAAATACATAATTTCACATATATATATATGGCAGGAGAATGTCTTTGTCCCTCACACACACACAAACACACACACACACACACTCACTCTCTCTGGTACACTAAAATTTTCTGCTTATTCTAATTTCTTACCACAATGATCAATACAAAATTACTTTACTGTGTTGTTGTGATAGCAATAATGGCCAATTATGCCGATAACTGCCTACATTATATATATATATATATATATATATATATATATATATGGCAAGACAATATGTCTTTGTTCCTCACACACACACACTCAAAGGCGACGTGTGTGATGTAAATCTCAGGCAGAGTGAAGGCATCTCAGCCCCTCCCTCATTCTAGAACACAGGACTTCATGTCATTATAATTCATGTTGCCTAGCAACATGGGAGTCGTCATAGAGGCCCAACAATAAAGAGATGACATGTACAGTGATGTGCTGAGCGCTTTAACGCCGAGATATGCCTCCGCCATCTTTTCCTGCTCATCTGTGCTTGAAGGGATCAGAATTAGAAACGCCATTTAAACGCTCTCCGAGTGACATCTTATCACGTCACACCGTCAGCCCTCGGATACGCGTTATCTAGCTTAAATCGAACCTCTTGTTGACTCCTTTGCAAGCATTATGCATTTCACAAAACATGTTAGTGGTGTATAAATGCATGATGGGGTGTTTTGCACAAATAAAGGAGACGCACAGAAAGTCACAGTTCAAAAAGGATCACATTTAATCAACAAGCCATCCTAAGAGTCTCTTATCCATCAAGACAGTGAGGCGTCACAACAGCAATAAACAAAGTTATTTTCTTAAAGTCTTTAGTTAAAAACAAAACACTTTTCTACCCATGCAACAGAAAGGTGGTTTAAAGGAATTGTTCGCTCAGAGATGAACTTTCTGTCATCATTTATTCGCCCCAAACCTGTGACTTGCTTTCTTCTGTGGAACAAGGAGAATTTTTAAGGACTATCCTGGTTGTTCCTTTCAATCAAATGAAAGGGAGGTCAAATGATTATTTATGACTACAGATGTCTTTTCCCAACACAAAACTATCATATGACTTCAGTGAACCTATAATATAGTGCATTCATCGTATGGACTGCTTTTATGCTGTTTGTCTCGTGATTTTAGAGTTTGACAGACATCAGTTGCTTCAATGCATATTCTTCGAATAACCTCCTTTTGTCTTCTGCAGAAGAAAGCGAGTGATTGAAATGACATGAGGGTGAGTAAATGATGACTGTATATTCGCTTTCAGGTGAACTATTCCTTTAAAGGGTTAGTTCACCCAAAAATGAAAATTAGCCCATAAATTACTCACCCTCAAGTCATCCTAGGTGTATATGACTTTCTTCTTTCAGACAAATCTGAAAGTTATATTAAAAATTGTCTTTGATCTTTCAATAAAAAGTGCCCATCTATTAAAAAAAAGTGTCTCACATATCTCCGGGGAGTGAACAAAGGCCTCCTGTAGCGAATCGATGCGTTTTTGTAAGAAAAATATCCATATTCAAAACATAATCACTTTAATGTAGCTTGCGCTCACTGTTGTACACGGAAGCAGCTCCGGGAGCATGACGTATGAGGTCAGCGTTGCGCATGCGCCGCTCAGAAGTGACGAACGCGGAAGCGCAGCGGAGAGATCAAAACAAAAAACGGTCACTTATTAGAAGTACTAAACAAGGATTTGTAAAGAAGAATGTCGGAGGATTTCGATATAAGCCAAGAGGAGACTGGTTTTCCTTTGCTAAAGTAAGGAAACTTTGCTTCCTTTGCTCCTGTTAACAAACGTTGGTTTTCACGAGACTCACCAGCGCATGCACAGCGCTGACCTCATACGTCATCCGCCCGTAACTGCTTCTGGGTACAACTGCTGCCGCAAGCTACATTAAAATGATTATTACTTTTTGAATATGGATATTTTTCTTACAAAAACGGATGGGGTCCTGATACGACTGAATTCAAGTCTCTGTTTCTCTACGTCCGTTGGTGTTTGGTTGAGGTGAGGTCAGTCTGAGACCCAGAGACTTGCCCTCGACGTCTCTCCGGTGGGGCATGTGCACCTGACACCCCCCGCCCCCAGTGCTAAACAGGCCACAGTGAGTCCTGAGGGGAAGGGGTAGTAAGAGAAGAGGACGGTGAGAGTCCCTGATTGCGGAACCGTATGATCAGACCTCGGGGTAGATCGTAGGTGTATGACCTGCAGATCTTCTAGTGTTCCAAGTCCGGTTTTATGACGTGGATTGGTGGCGTGTTCTTCAGAAGAACCAGCGGAAGGTGTCGGTGGCTCCTGCCGATGGTGCTCTCTGAGGGAAGACACAGGAGATAGTGGGAATTCTGGACAGATTCCAGTTTAGCTGTTTGGTGTGAATCATCTTCACAATAAGATGCAATGATTCAAAATATTGATTCATCAAAAATAAGAATTAAATTGGGAAAATGAAAACAACAGACCAACCAGACCATCTATGCAAAGGCCCTCGCAACCGTGTTTCCGTTAGCTGAGACGACTGTTTATGTAATGATTATTGTTGGCTCTTTGATGAATTGCTTTTGTTTCTGTTTGGATAAAAGCGTCTACTAAATGCATAAATGTAATTATGAAACTTTTAGTCACTGGATTTGATAAAAGTTTGTGAGAATTGAACAACAAGAGTTTTGTTGAAAAAAAGTAGCACGTAAACTAGTTGACCAAGAGTTTTTGCAAATAGTTGGTACTTCATGAACTGACACAGCACACATTTTTTGCATTGATTGCATATTACTCTGAACCATGTGTAGATGTCTTGGATATCTAGTTTACTTGCTACTAAGGCGTTTCTGTAGCTCAAACATTAGAGCATGGCATTGGCGACATCAAGGTTTTGGGTTCAATTACCAGGGAATGTGTGAACTGATAAAAATTTACATTTTGAATTCAGTGTAAGTTGTTTTGGATAAAAGCGTCTGCCAAATGCATAAATGTAATGTTCTTAAACATTACCTGGACCCTCCCCAGCACTGCACATCTTTAATTATATGGAGACATCCCAAATGCAGTGCCAGGGAGACTCCAAACAAACTCTTAAAGCCTGTCCACACCAAGGATGATAACTATAATGATATGTTTTAATTCTTTGAGAATAATGAAGTCCGCACCACAACTATATCGACACAGAAATGATATTGTTGGAATCACTTTCAGAATATTTTTTTCCTGGTGGTGAATGATAAAAACAGCCAATAACAATCCATCCGACTTTAAAGAGCACAAGCATTTATCTGAAACGCGCTGTCTGACATCGTGACCCCCGACGACCCTGCACCGGAGTGAAGCGTCGTCATGACGATGACCCCCGGTGGCAGCGACAGACCCCCCAACGGGGGCATCCCTCCGAATGTCCCGCCTCGGTCTGCCTCTCCGGCTCCACTAGGCGGCGGGCACTTCAGTCGGTTCATGCACTCGGCCCCCGTTACGGGAAGACCGCAGCATTGCTCCGCAGCTAGCGGCGACAGGAAGTTGTCAGCGCCCATCGGGAGGGCGGAGTCTTGTGGAATGTGTTTGGCGGACATGTGCATGTTCACCGGCTCCGCCCTCGACATGCCAGTCCGATGTGTGTGAGGTCCGTTAACATTAACCGAGGTGGGCTTTCGCCCCCATAGCATGGCGTTGTCGCAGGGCCAGGGTGGCATCGCTGACAGGCGGGCTGAGGGGAAGAGGGGCGTGGCGATTCGGGTGATTTTGGCGTTCTGGGGAAATGGGGTGGCGGCAGCAGCGGCCGCGGCGGCTGTGCTGTTCTTATAGAAGGTGGCAAATGAGCGGTATCGCTCCATCTGCGCGCTGTAGTCCAACACGGGGTTCACGCACGAGTCGATCTGCAGAGGAAAGTCCCGCCCGGGGGTGGGGTTATAGTTGTAGGTGTGGCCATGGGTGTGGCCATGAGTGTGTGGGGTTTCCATGCACACACTACTGCTCATGTTCGCCATCAGAGCAAAACAAACACGCACTAACACCCAACCATCCACGGCACTGGTCCTGTGGAGGAAAGAGGAGGTGGACGTGAACAGAGAACTACAACTAAGCGGAATCGCAATTCAGAAATCTTTCATTTATTTGCAGACAATAGAGAATATTTCGTCAAATCCTAAAGGATGCATACAAAATTGCTTAATGGTATTTTAGAACCAAAACGAATCAAACAAGAGTCCACTAAGAACCAAAACAACTAAAATTACGAAAAACAAAAACCCTGAAAATAAGAAAATTACAGTTTACGCAATCTTATTTGACTCTTAAGGCTCTTGCACACTGAGTCCGAAATTTTCGTCCGAATTTTTCGCACGTTAAAAAATAAATACGATCTCACGTTGTGTCGTTTACACACTGCCTTCGAAACTTTCGTTTGTCATCAAAAAATTCGGATCAGGTTTGATTTTCTGCGTTTTTCGCATCCGTAGCAAGCATTTTGAGAGATGTTTTGACAATTCAGAGCCACCGTACAAGCGAACGCCAAAATCCAGAATGGCGTCTGACAAGATGATCACTTCTTGTCGCTGCACAAAGCACTGTATAGGTCCTTGCCAAGTGGCAACCTCCCGCTCTCTCTCGTGAAGCCAACAAGGAAGTGACTTAAACTGTAATTCGTCAACTGGCCGCTAGAGGCTGGCTGCAAAAGGGAGTCAATCCCATAGACTCCCCATGTTAAAATGCCCAACTTTACAGCAGAAAAAAACATGTTTACAGCCTGGTACAAAAAGTGGTTTTGGTCTATATAGCTAATTTTGCCCTTCATGACAACTGTGAGGGGGGTGAATTTTTTTATAACTCATCCGTTTAAATTATATTAAGCCTTAAAGTTCTGCATAATTAAGGGCGTGGCCACTTGAGTGACAGGTGGATTGCCACTGCTGTCACCACCGTCGAGCTAGGTGGGCGTGGCTTCACCAACCTGCTCCCGCCTCTTTGCCCATTTTCGATTATCTGGGAGTGACACGCGGTGACGCGCTACCAAGATGGCGACGGCCACCTCCGCCCACTTTTGAGCTTCAAAAACGCTCTCCAGAAATCTACGGGTGACGTCACGGACACTACGTCCATGTTTTTATACAGTCTATGGTCTTTGCACACTAAGTTCACGGAATTTTTTTTTTTCAATATGTGGCTCCAGTATCGCTAGCAAAGCATCAAACTGAGCCACTGACATGGGATATCCCGGGATAATCCTGCAGCTCCTTGATAAGGAGGTGGAACTCTCCTTGGATTGGATGATGGATCCAATATTTCCTCTTTCTTTTTCTCTTTTTAAGAAGAGAGAGGACAGCAAAATCATCTTCACTGCTTGAAGACTCCATTTTGAATTGTTTTGCGAACAGTGTGCAAGGTTTCTCTGCGTGACACATTTTTAGGATGACGAATACGAAAAAACGTATACGAAAATTTCGGACTCAGTGTGCAAGGACTGAATTCGTAATTCATTCTCAGTGGGTTCCAAAACAGAATATAATAGAAATGTAATTTTAAAAACTGAAATTTGATTCAGTCAAATTTAGATAAAAAATGTAAGAAAAACACAGTTCAGATAAACAGCAAAGATTTTTTATGCATTTATGTACATTTTTAATGCTCATTGTTTCCTCCCAGCTCTTAAATTATGATGCATCTTGAATGTATTGCTCCATTTATTTACAGAAAAGAGAAATTTTGATAAATAATAAAAGATGTATACAAAATTGCATCATCTAAAAATCAAAACAAGATCCTAAACTAAAATAATGAAAAACAAAAGCCCTGAAAATACACGAGATTCAGTTACATTTAGATTAAAACAATAAAAAAAGCATAGTTCAGAGAAATAGCAAAAGGTTTTATGCATTTATGTACATATCTTTTTGCATATGCATGACATAATTTAGGACAATACAGAGCATTATATCTAACACCATCAGGTCCGCCTTTAAATATGTTATTTTAATTAGAGGAACAACAGAAATGGCGATAATAAGCAGTGGAGAAGAAAGTTACCGTGTCAAAATGTGTGTATGTGTGTGTTCACGTGAAAGAGAAAGAGAGAGACAGAAAGGCTCCTCCCCCCCCA